TACTTTTCAGGGAATAGCAGCATCCTATAGAATTAGACCCATCTTTCTGAAATGACTTTAAAATGAAAGAATGGGAAGATAGGAATAGCCTCAAGCTCTCAAGCCCTGGTCCTCATGGGGGACTTCAGCTACCCTGATATCTGTTGAAAGAGCAGCATGTCAGTCCTTGAGGTTTCTCAGATGTGTCAGTGATGACTTCCTTACACAGATGGTCAAGGAACCAATAAGAAGCGGTGCCATGCTGGACCTTGGGCTCACCAACAGGGAGGAGCTGGTGGGAGATGTAGTGCTCCAGGGAAGCCTTGGCTGCAGCGACCACGAGATGGTGGAGTTTGAGGTCCTCAGGGCAGTGAGGGGGGTGTGCAGCAAGCTCACTGCCCTGGAATTCTAGAGAGCAGACTTCAGCCTTTTCAAGGGCCTTCTTGGCAGAGTCCCGTGGGATGAAGTCCTGGAAGGCAGAGGAGCCCAAGATTGCTGGCTGATACTCAAGGATCACCTCCTCTAAGCTCAGGAGCAATGCATCCTAGCAAGGGGCAAATCAGGCAGAAATGCTAGGGGTTGTCCGTGGGTGGATGAGGAGCTGCTGAGCAAACTTGGAGGAAAAAAGAGGCCTTCAGGCAGTGGAAGAGAGGACAAATGGCCTGGGAGAAATACAGGGAACTTGTACAGGAAGCTAGGGACATGGTTAGGGAAGCTAAGGCCTAGTTGGAATTGAGTCTAGCCAGGGATGTTAAGGATAACAGGAAGGGCTTCTATAGACATGATGCATGCAAAAGAAAGACTGGGGACAATGTAGGCCCTCTCCAGAAGGAAACAGGAGACCTGGCTACCCTGGACAAAGACAAGACTGAGGTTCTCAATGACTTCTGTGTCTCAGTCTTCAACTGCAAGTGCTCCAGGCACACTACTCAAGTCAAGAAAGGCACATGCAGAGACTGGAAGAATGGAACCCCCGAGCCCACTGTAGGAGAGGATCATGTTCTTTGAGACCATCTAACAAAACTGCATGTGCATAAGTCCAAGGGACCCGATGAGGTACCTCCTTGAGTCCTGAGGGAACTGGTGGATGTAGTTGCTAAGCCACTGTCTATAATTTTTGAGAAATCATGGCAGTCAGGTGAAGTCCCTGATGACTGGAGAAAGGGAAATATAACACCCAGTCAGTCTCACCTCTGTGCCTGGCAAGATCATGGAACAGATTCTCCTGGAAACCATGCTTAGGCACATGGGAAGCAAAGAGGTGACTGGTAACAGCCAACATGGCTTTACCAAGGGCGAATCATGCCTGACAAATTGGGTGGCCTTCTATGATGGGGCTGGAGATTTTGTGGATGGGGCAGAGCTACTGACATCATCTACCTGTACTTATGCAAAGCATTTGACACTGTCCTGCACAACATCCTTGTCTCTAAATTGGAGAGACGTGGATTTGATAGATGGACCACTTGGTGGATAAAGTTATGGTCAGTGGCTCATTGTCTGCATGGAGGCCAGTGATGAGTGGTGTCTCTCAGGGATCAGTGCTGGGGCCAACACTGTTCAGGATCTTTGTCAGTGCCATGGACAGTGGGATCGAGTGCACGCTCAGTAAGTTTGCTGACCACACCAAGCTGTGTGGGGCAGTTGACATGCTGGAGGGAAGGGATGTGCCATGCAGAGGGACCTTGACAGGCTTGAGAGGTGGAACAATGCAAACCTCATGAAGTTCAACAAAGCAAAGTGCAAGGTCCTACATCTGGGTTGTGGCAATCCCAGGCACCACCTAGAGGTTGAGTGGGGAAGTAATTGAGACCAGCAAAGAGGGAGGAGAAAGACTTGAGCGTGATGATGGGTGAAAAACTCAACATGAGCTGCAGTGTGCACTTGCACCCCGGAAAGCCACCCAGATCCTGGGCTGCATCCAAAGGAGTGTGGCCAGCATGTTGAAGGAGGTAGTTCTCCCCCTCTACTCTGCGCTTATGAGACCCCACCTGGAATACTGCGTGAAGTTCTTGTGCCCTCAAGGTAAGAAGGACATGGAACTGTTGGACCAAGTCCAGAGGAGGTTGCAAAGTTGATAAACTGATTGGGGCATCTCCTCTACAAAGAGAGGCTGAGGAATTTGAGGCTGTTCAGCCTGGAGAAGGGAAGGTTCCATGGAGACCTCATAGCACCTTCCAGTATCTTCCAGGGAAGCCAGAGAGCAACTTTTTGTTAGGAACTGCAGTGATAGGACAAGGGGAAATGGGTGCAAATTGTAAGAGGAGAAACTTGGATTAGATCTCAGGAAAAGAATCTTTCCTGTGAGGGTGGTGAGTTACTGGCACAGGTTGCTCAGGGAGGGAGTGGATACCCCCAACCCTAGCAGTGTTCAAAGCCAGGTTGGATGAGGCCTTGAACAACCTGTTCTAGTTGGAGATGTGTCCCTTCCCATGGCAGGGGGGTTAGGACTAGATGATCTGTAAGGTCCATTCCAACCCCTAAACAATCTATGAATCTAGAACCCTTGCTTCATGTACAGGGCTTTTATCATAGAATCATAGAATGGTTTGGGTTGGAAGGGTCCTTAAAGATCGTCTAGTTCCAATACCTCTGGCCATGGGCAGGGACACTTTCCACTAGACTGGGTTGCTCAGAACCCCATCCAGCTCAGCCTGAAACGCTATGAAAGTGATGTACTGTTTCTATTTT